TATAAACTAATTTATTCTAGCTATATAACTATCTCTTTTTATAATTTCAGACTCACTTAGCTACTCTAGGTGCCTAAGTGTGATCAGCTACAAAAGTAAATTTTTCTTCTACTAGAGTAGTTTACCTAAGTAAATTCATATTCTAGTAATCTGCAGAAAGCTCCTTTGCATCTATTTTAAGATTTCTTAGTTATTTTTAAAACTTAACTAGCTTTCTTTTATTCTTTTTTTAATCTATATTTAGACCTTAGCTTCAGCTAGATTCTAAATTTTTTCATCTTTGCTTTTGCTTATTTCTTCGTAGTTAATTTTGTTTAAATTCTAGTTTTCTTTATTTGCTATGTTTTCTTTTTTCAGTTTATTAAGCTTTCACTTTGTTTTTTTCTTTTTTTCTTTAAACTTGATGTTATTTCTTTCTTCTCACTCTAGTATAACTTCATAGTAAAATTTTTATAGCTTTTTAAAAAAATTAGACCAGAATAGCTCTAAAAACCAACTTATTGCTTTGTTAGTTTTGAAGCTAGATCCTAGAATATCTTTGACTTCTGTTGTAAGATAGTTACTAGTTAAGCCTTAAATATATAATTTCCTTCTACTGTATATCTCAGCTACATCATGACCTATGAATACTTCTTTTAGAGTTTGATCAGAAATAGATATTTTCTATTTATCATCAAGCCTTAGACTAAGCTCTTCTATGATAAAACTTTTGATCTTCTTTCAAATTTGTTAATAGATCTGGTATTCTGCAATATGTTCTAAGAATTCTTTTTTCACAAAGTATGCTATACAAGTTTTACTCTTATATAGACTAGAATTTTATTAGAAACAAATATCTTTTATTAGAACAACTTGTTAAGACACTTTATCTTGAAGATTAAAGCTCTGCTTTTTTGAATACTAGTATATCTCTTTCCTTGAAGCTTCTTTAGCAAGCTCTATGTATTTCTTCAGTTCAAATTTTCATTACTTTGTGAGCTTAGTCTTTGCTCTAGTATTAGTTTAATATTATTTAGCTTTGCTTATTTACATTCATATGATATTGATATGATTATATTAATGAAGGATCTAAGAGGACTGTCTATTAATTTGCTCTTCCAAGTTAGTACTACTCTTATGCTATTTGCTGTTATATTCTATACTTCTAGTACTAGATTAGATAAAAGACTTTCTTTTGCTAACTTATCAGCTTTATCATTTTAATAATTCATGCTATAGCCTTTAACTTTAATTAGCTTCAAATCAATGTTTTTAGTTTTGCAGTAGTCTAATATTTGATTAATTAAACTATGATTCTTAGTTTTGAATATGCTTCTTATGTTCAATTAGTTTTTAAATCCTTGAATTCCTTCTATTGCTATGTTACTATCAGAGTATATTTTTACTTTCATATTAGCAGAAGCTACTAGCACTGCTGTCCATATTGCATCTAGTTCAGCTCGAGTTGAGAAGGGCCAGTCAGCTATTCTACTTTTAAAACTAATATTATCTTCTCTACTATCATTACTCACTATAATCTATTCTATATCTATCTTTTTCCTTTTTCTATTTTTTTCATACTCTACTACTAATAATCTATCTGTATAAATATCTAGCTCCTTTTTTCTTTTTAACCTTTTTATAATATTCACTAAATTACTTGGTATCTCTTCATTGCTAATTACTCTTTGAATTACTGCTTCTTCTATGCTAACTGCTTTTATTTCTACTTTTCATTTTATCGAATTTAATAAAAATTTTTTTATTTTAAATCTATAAATTATTAGTTTATAACTAATTTTAACCAGAAGTAATTTTACTTAAATTATAAAATTGTTAAATAAATAAATAAAATAAACTTTTAGAAGTTAGAATTAAATTCGAATTCATATTAGAATTAGAGTTAAAGATTTTATATATACAAAATTATATGCTAAAAACTTTTATTTAATAATCCAAAACTAGTTTTTATAATAAAATTTTAAGATATTTACAATTTTTTAATTTTTTTTTAAAAATTTTTTTATTTTTGTTATACAAGATCCTGTGATTTAATTAGTTTTATATATAAAGAAGTAATATTACCTAAAGTGAAAATTAACAATAATTAAATTATTAAAATTAAAATAAAAAAATTTTTATAAAATTTGCTTTAATAATTGTTAAAATATTTTATTCTAAATTTGAAAAAATATTTAATTTAAAAAAATTTGTTCTTTTTCTATTAACTTTTCTTCTTTTTTTGTTATTAAAGTAACTTATATTACCAAGTAGATTTTATTAGTTAGTATATATAAAGTTATCTGTTGACAACCTTCTACAGTTTGTAATTACATGAAGAGTATATAATCTATCATATATATAACTTTAGTTATTATCTAATTTAAGTAGTCCACTATACAGATAGATTATCTATTTGGTTTTATACAAGCTACTATATCTGTAACCTGCTTATGAGTTATCTATTTAAATATTTTGTCTAACTAACTTATACTGGAATTAACTAACATTACTATAATATCTAGCTGCTTAAGCCAGCTAGCTTATTATAAATCTATTTATCTAACTTAGCTTAGGTTATTTTAGATTACATTATACTTAACATATTGTAGTATTTGCAGAGCTAGTTAACCTCAAAATATACTTACTAAAATAGTCTGTATCTATTTTATGAATTTATCTAGCTTAGACCTTTGTGATATTTATGTGACTCCAGTTCCTACTATAGCTCTTTACTAATATTATTTGTTAATCTCTCTAAATGTTTTACAAAGTAAATTTTTCTAAATTTAATTAGCTACTAAGCTAGGTTTGTGTTGCTGATCTTTTCTGTAAAATAGACTTGCTCGCATCTAATTTGATCTATTTCTTTTGAGCAATAGTTTCTATTCAAATTAAGTATTAATTAGTATGATTGTTGAAAGCTATACTACTTTATTAACTTAGAGTTTCTACTATACAAGTTCTCTGCTTATAGATCTTATCTATATAATATTATATTGCACTCTCAATATCCAAATAATATTAGTGCAAACAATAAAAATTTATTCAATATCATTATATAAAAACTCTTTTTAACAATTATTAAAACCAAAATAACAAAAAACAAAAATTTTTTTTTGTACTACTATTTATAGAACTACTTAAAGTAACTAATTACATGAGAAATAAATTACAAGACTATAATAAGCTAGTAGCAAAAACTATAACAAGTTAGTTTCAAAGTTGTACTAGACTCTTTGGCTATTTAACTTTAGCAGGATGACTTTAAGTTAGTTTAGTAGAAAGGTATTAGCAGTAAAATGAAGAAGTATAAGAAAGACTCTAACTATGCTTATACTAGATTAAGTATATAATCATTTTCTTAGTTTTGTTTTTTTGAAAAACTACTTCCTTTATTTATGACAACTAGATTTTTGAACTTAGAATTGTTTTCTTTTATTTCTCAACAGCAAAAAGTAGAAATTTGGTTTATTTCTGCTAAAAGATCTATATTTGTATTATGTTTATTTTGAAAAAATCATATTGTATACTACTAAACAACAATAACTTGCAAACATGTATAGTCACATACTACAAGTTAACATTTATTGACATCTTCAATAGAAGATTACATAAAGCTATACTCTATTAGATAAGTAAGAAATAGACTTGATAGAATTAGTTAATACTATAGAGATATATATATGAGTAGCAATAGTATATATAATTTTTAAAGATAGTGCTTGCTTTTGAGTTTGCTTTTAGATAAAACTACTCAGAGTTTTTTTTTTTTTTTTTTTATATATCAAAAAGATAATTTCTGCTCACTTTTTTCCTTTTTTTGTTTGTTTTTGCTTACATATAGATAGCAAGATTTTTACTTGTTAACAAGTTTTTCTTGCTATTCTAGCTTAAGTTCTTATAATATATAGCTTTTTTGCTTTTCGTTATTTATAACAATTTTTTATTTTTTTTCTATCTTGAGACTAGGTATTAACAATTTTTAGTTTAATCTTAAATTAGATTAAAAAGAATCTAGAATCTTAATATAAGCTAAAAGTTACCTTTTTTTAATTATTAATAACCTCTTCTACTAGATAGAATATTACTAATAAGAGATAAAATACTTCTGCAGCAAATTAAACTTGAATACTATCTGAATAGTCAAGTTAGTTCAAATTGCAACAAAAAGAGTAGTAAAGTATTATATTGAGATATAGTATTTTATATTGCCTGTATTATCTTATTTGATAATTCTCCTAATAAAATGAAGGACAAAATCATCTAAATGAAAAAAAAAAATATTGATACAAACAAGATTTATCATAAATTAAATACAGAAATCCAAATAATTATTTAAATTCATCAACAGTAGAATTTGAACTCCAAACCTCTTGTATGATAGTCTAACAACCTAACAACTATACTAAAATCACCAAACATTCTATTAACTTCTTCTCATATATTAAATTTAATAATATATATATAAAAATAAAATTTCAAATTTAGCTACTAAAATTTTTATTAATTAACTTTAAGTTGTTTATATTATAGTAAAAAAGAATTATATTTTTAATACTTTGCAAAAATTTATAAAAAAAAAACATTAAATATTAAAAAATAAAGATCCTAAATAAATCAAAATTAAATAAACTTTTTTTGTAAATTTATATATGAAATTGAAGTTATTTGACCTATAATTACAATACTTAAGAGGAAATGTTCTAATAATTACAAGAATTATTTAGAACAAAAAACATTTTATATTTGATATATTAATTAAAAAAGCAATAAAGAAAAAATGAACAAAACCACGTTAGACTTCACCGTTATGATTTTTAAAAAAATAGAAATCTTTAAATAACGATAAGAAATCTAACCCTTCTTTATCAGTAACCAATGCCTTTTGCATTTTCAAATGGTCCAATCATCATCTAGTTCAAAATATAAAAAAAGCAATCGTTAATGACATGAATGTATAAGAGTACGTTATATAGTTATTTTTGAAATATTTAGCAAAAATTCGGTGCTACTAGAAAATGCCATACCACGCCTTACCTGCGCTCAATCAGCAGTTCATTGTAGATTCGAAATACGAATTCATACGCGAACTGGGACAAGGAGCTTATGGCGTTGTTTGGTATTTTCTTTTGTTTGGTTTTCGGACGTACTTAAAAAAAAGAGATTGTCAGGAAAAAAAAGTTCGCTTTACTCGTTTTTTTTTTTTTAAATTTAACATGTTACTAACCAATGTCTTACACTACCGTTCTAACCATTAAATAGCGCAGCCAAAAATACAGAGACTGGTGAGCAAGTGGCAATCAAAAAAGTTACAAAAGTTTTTGAAAAGAACATTCTAGCTAAACGCGCTTTACGGGAGGTGAAACTTTTGAAACATTTTAGTGGCCATGAGAATGTTAGTCCAGTTTGTCTTTTAAAGTGCAGATTTTATATAAAATTGGCTCTGATCAGAATTTGAATATTCCTTGTATTCAGCCACGTCTTTTTTACTCTTGGTTGCTGACATATTCGTTTGTTTGATTAGATCACATCAATTCTTGATATGGATATAACAAATATTCAGGATTTCAACGAAATGTAAAGTACAACATTAGATCATATAATCGATTGCCTATATACTTCATTATATATAAAATATTTTCTCGAACCTTATTACGAATGTCAATTCATACAGTTATCTATTCCAAGAACTCATGGAAGCCGACCTTCATCAAATTATACGTTCAGAGCAACCATTGACGGATGCACACTTCCAATATTTCGTGTATCAAATTTGTCGGGGATTAAAATATATTCACTCGGCAAATGTTTTGCATAGAGATTTGAAACCCGGTATGCTTTGAGTGTTATAAATGCATTTTTTCAAAATTAATTAACATATTACCAAATTTAGGTAATCTATTAGTAAATGCTGATTGTGAACTCAAGGTAATATAATATATCTAGCATAATCAAATAAATGTTATAATAATTACTAATTTATATTAAATGATCCATGAAATAAGATTTGTGATTTCGGCCTTGCCCGTGGTTTCTCAGATTCACCTGACCACAATGCTGGTTTTATGACGGAATATGTTGCAACGCGATGGTATAGAGCTCCTGAAATAATGTTGAGTTTTCAGAATTATACTAAAGCTAGTAAGTATTCTACCTTGCAATATATGTATATCATTTATTTTCTCCTAAAAAACAATTTTGCTCATGATGATTAATTATATTGCTTTTGTTATGGTTTAACCAACATAAAGTTGATATGTGGTCAGTTGGATGTATTTTTGCAGAGATGCTTGGTGGAAAACCTTTATTTAAAGGACGTGACTATGTTGATCAATTAAACCAAATCCTGGGAATCTTGGGCACTCCAGATGAAGAAACTTTAAGAAGAGTTGGGAGTGAGAGGGTAACGAATTACTTGTCTGCAATTTCAGAAATTAACAAATTTATGTTGGATTAAGCGTTTATATTTTTTTTATTAGGCTCAAGTTTATATACGTAGCCTACCAAAAATGCCAAAAATCCCTTTCTCCCAACTTTATCCTAAGGCAAATCCTTTAGGTGAATATGAGGTTACTTTATTTTATTATCTATAAAAGAAAAAATAAGTTATAATGGATATTTTTTTTCAATATGCATTTTTTAGCACTTGATCTATTGGAAAAACTTCTCAAATTCGATCCAGCTGCAAGGATCACAGTTGAGAAAGCTTTAGCCCATCCTTATTTGGCTGCCTACCATGACGAAGAAGACGAGGTTAGTAAATAAAAAAATTGATATTATTAAACTAAGCTGTTATTATTCATTTCATATTTACATTGCTATTAGCCGGGGCATGATGAAATGTTTGATTTCTCGTTTGAATCAGTTGATTCTATTGAAGATATGAAGAGTGAGCTCACTTTTAATTACAATGTTATATTCTTTCTAGTATTCCTCAATTTATTAGTATTAAATCAAAAATATAATATCAGAAATGATTGCCCAGGAAGTGATGTCTTTTAAAGCTTCTAAACAGTCACCATTAGGGTTGAATGGTGCACAATTGGGACGTAAAGCAAGGTGATTAATATTCTTTTAACAAGTAATATACTTTTTTGATTTTTTTCTCATTTCCTTGTAATCATCATAGTACTTAAATGACCATGTCTGCTTTTAACACAAGTTTGACAGCGCCTGACCGTGACATGCTAGCCCAGCAGCGTCAACAACCAAATCGCAATTCTTTATATGAATTTGGTGCAGCTAGTCAACATGCGGCTATACCTTCAGCAAGTATGGAAGTAGATGAATTAGAAAAAGAGTTAGGCGGCATGTTGTAATGACAATATTGTCATCATATACAGTAATTGACTCAAAAAAAATCGAGAATATGGCTTTTTTAGCGTATTTATTTTCGTGATGAATCATATGTTTCTTATAGAACAAAAACATGTCTATAAATTGTTTAAAATAGGCTTGAAATAATATTTATTTATTTTTTTTTGCCAACCAACCACTAAGATTATTTTTAACAATTCACATGTTTGGCATATAAAAACATAGTTGGTATATTTTAATTGGCTTTAACTCATTTTATTTAATGGTTTTGTCTTAATAAATTAACATCCATGAATAAATTATTGTTGTTGTGATGTTTTAATTTGATATGATTTAAGAAATACTTTATTATTTGTTAAATAGGTTTGTATTATCACAATTATAAAAATAAATGTTTATTAAACTTAATAAATTTGATTTAAATAACCTTTATTATAAATAAATTTCGTTTTTTCGTCTTCTTAGACCCAGATAGTTACACAACGTGTGGTGCAGTAATATGCGCAGTAATACGAATCAATCGTAAAATCCAGGTTCAGGCGAATTTAGGCCAACTTGATCTACTTCGGGTTCATTTGAACCTACGGTGCAATTAGCCAATAACATTGCAGGATCAGGTGTACATGTAAATCAACGAAATTTTTTAAAAAATGCTAATTAAGGGTAGGGGGTATGTAGATCCTTTTTTATATGAAACCTATGAAAATATTTTTTTCTTTTTATAATTACAAAAATATTTACTAA